AACCAAACAAAAAGAAAGGAAGGAAGGAAAGAAGGAAGGAGGGAAGGAAGGAAGGAGGGAGGGAGGAAGGGAAGGAGGGAAGGAAGGAAGGAAGGAAGGAAGGGAGGGAGGGAGGGAGGGAGGAGGAGCAGGAGGAGCTGGAGTTCGAGCTGTGAGGTTCGGGGCCGAGACCCCATCCCGGAGCCCTGGCCGGGGCGGGTGTGCCAGCTCTCGCGCCGCTGCCCGCGCCCACGACCATGCTCCGCGGTTGGGAGGCAGGAACCCAGGCATCCAGCGGTTCCCGGATACCTTCTCCTGGGCTGGGCTGGTATTGAGATCAAGGAGTGCTGGATCAAAAGATCACCGCCAGCCAGCCTTCTCCACACCTCCACGGTCCAACTGGAGGATCCCAGTTCACCCACCGACCCTGACCTGGTTATGGCGTGCAGCTCCGGCCTGGCGTGAGGACCCCCGACCGGCGTGAGGTGAGGGTTGGGTTGGGGCAGAGGGCTAAAGTCACGCAAGGCCAGCAGGAGCGCGCGGAGGGAGATCCAGTTTGAATTGGGGAGGGGAAGCACTGTCTGTCTGATTGTCTTTTGCGTTCTGGCACGCACCCCCGGGCTGCTTAGGGCGCGAGGGACGCCACTGGAGTCATTAGAGGCTATTCTTAGGCCCCCAATCAGGCTAGCAGCCCCGGAGCACCAGGAGAAGGGCTTAGGGGCAGCCAGGGGACCCTGCCACCCTAGCTCAGAGAACAAGGCGGGCCTTGGGCCAGCTGGAGCAGGGAACCCTGCCCTGGGGGCTTCTGGGAGATGTAGTTCCCCCTCCCAGGCTCACCAACTCCTTGGGTTCCAGCACCCCTGCATACCTGTGACTCATGGGAGCCTCCGGAGGGAGGTGGGTTGGGACAGTAGAAAGCTGGGGTCACCCTTTGCCCCCAGGCACTGCTTCTGAGCAGCAGGAGCCCAGCCTGGAGGAGCCTCCCGTGCCAAGGATTGTGAGCTTGGCTGGGGGTGGGGCAGTCACACAGTTCCTTGGAGGCTTCCCTGCACTGCCAAGAGAAGGTGGCCCCTGCCTTGATCCAGAGGAGCCCCTGGGGGCGAGATGTGAGGAAAAGAAGTAAGACCGAGGCCTCCTGCATAGCTGGGGTATGTCCCACCCCAGGACTGCAGGAATTTGGTTTTCAGGAGACAGGGAGGTTCGGCCTCCTCTTTTCCCTCCTTGAGGCAGAGAAAGACTATTCCTCAAGTCTGGGAGTCTGGAGTGTGTCTCTCTCTGGAGCAATGAAGCAAGAATCAGCTTCTGTCTGTCTGTCCGGCTTCCTTCCTTCCGGGTTTTTCTGTCTGCTGCTTGGGGTGTGTGTTCATGTTTGTGGGGCGGGGGCAGGCTCTGTTGCAGGAGTATTCTGAGAGAGAGGAGCTTGGTGTGTGTCTGAGCCCTGGGAAAGGCGATCTGCGGGCGGCCCCCTTGATCTTTTGCTCCACCTCCCTCTCTCCCACTGAACTCCTTGCCGTTCTGTTTTCTCTGGGAATGTTGCCTGCTTTGTATCTGCTAGAACCCCACGGATGCCATACTTCCACTCCCCTTCTCCCCCTCTCCTCAACCTCTCCGGGGACCAGCCACTTCCTTGGGGCAGGGGTTCCTCTGCTCCAAGCATGGGCTTGGCTGCTTCCTCTGGTCAAGACCATGATTTCATGGCCTTAGGGGAAGAGCATGCTCAGGCCCTGTCCTGATAATCAGTTCTGAGGCCCCACAGTCAGAAGCCTCAGGGCTGACAGGGTGGAAAAGGTGGAGGAAGGTGAGGAACATGGAGGGAAGCAATACTCTGGAACCAGGAAGGAAAACACTCCTTCTCTCAGGTCATCCACCTACTTGGCCTTGGAGGACCAGGCTGGAAGGCCAGGGTTCTGGACACCTCCCTGCAGGAGTTTCTCTGCTAAGCCATGCTGCTTTTGCTTGGGGTGGAGTGGGGATTTATGTTGGGAGGAATGCTGGTGAGTGATAGAACTCCTATAATCTTGGGTCTAGAATGACTCTTGTGCCCCTGACTAGCAAGGACCCTGTGACTGGAGATGGGTTCAAGACTAATAACCAGAATCTAGAGAGGGTACAGAGAAATGCTGGTGGACCATAGAAATCTGGGATTAAAGCATTAGTGCTAAATTGGAAGCTAGTGATCTTGCTTGTTGAAGGTACAGAGCGCCCACCCATGACTCTGTTGAGCAAGTTCCTGGTACCTGGGTTAAGCAGGAGCCTGATGCTGGGGGAGTTCATCTACAACCATGCAGAGCAGTAGCCTTCTAGGCAGAGGCCTAGCGGCAGTGTCGACTCAGCAAGGGCCTGAATGCCTGGCACCTGCTTTAGATTAAAAGAGATGTGGTACAAAGGGGGGCCTTTGGGGGAAGTGGCTGGGATGGTACTTCAGGGAGTCCTGGAGTAGGTTAGGAGGGAAAGCACCAGCACTGTGGACAGCAGGAGCTCTGGCACTAGTGGATGGAGCCGAGAGTCACCCAGCTCTGCAGCCTCTCCACCAGGGAGTCTAAGATGAAGAGCTGGGGGTACCCCCACCCTGCCTCTGGTGCTGCTACAGACTGAGGTTCTGTCCCAGTGCTCTGGGGTAGCTCTAGGGAGCCAGAGTGTCTGTGTCCAGGCTACCCAGGATCAAAGGAAGCCTGCAAGGAGGTGGGTGGGTGGGGGCACTTAGGGATTCTTATGGCCCTGATGCCATGTATACTATTCCTGAGCTTCTTGGTTGCTGATAGTGAGGTACCTTAAAAGCTTGGGCACCCAAGGATGACAGGGAATTGGCATCCCTTGCTTCCTTGTACCAGAGCCCTGGGTTCTGCCCGTGTGCTGACCTGGGTTAGGGGAGGGGACAGAGGGGGATAGCACCGTGGGAAAGTGGGCAGCCGTGGGAGCAAAGCGGTACAGGCTGGGTGCCGCGGGCAGGGAGCCTCTGCCAGGCCCGCTCTCCCTGGGGTGGGGCTGGCTGTTCCAGGGACTGGCTCAACCTGTTGAACGCCTGGCTGCTGTAGCTTGCTTGGCATCTGTGCCCCTGCTTGCCAGCCTCAACAGCTGCCCACCCATAGCCACACTGTGTTCATTGCCCCTGGGAATCTGAGGAAAGAGCTCAGATTGGCCCAAGAGGCCAGGTAAGGGCTTCTGCCAGGGCTGAGGATCTCTAATGGGGGATTCCTAAGCTTCCCCAGGTCTGGACCTCTGAGCCCCAGAGCTGGGGACCAGGAGCTGAGGGGCTAGGTGAAGAAGGCTACAGCCCTGGGAGCTCCTGAACTGCTTACTGCTTGTCACTTGGATGGGCTTGCCCTGCAAGCAGCCTGGAGTTACAGCCTGGAATTTCCTCTGCCTGGTGCCAGGGCCAGGCCTCCAGAGCCCCACCCCCAGCCTGGCCTGACCTCCCCTCCTTGTCTCCCTCCCTCCCTCTGTCCCTATGTCCCTCCCTACCTCCCTCGGTTAGCTCTGCAGACTTTCCTGGGAGATTGGGGGAGGGGCAGTGAGGACTGCTTTGGGAGGGGTGGCCTCCTAGGTGTGGGGGTAGGTTACACTGACTCAGTTTCAAAGGGAGATGTTCCCTTAGCCTATTCTGAGTGTGGTGACAGCTAGCCCCCACTCTCTCTGACCCTTAGCTTTCAGCCTACTAGGTAGGTGGGGAAACAGCCTGGGTGCTATTCTGGAGGGGAGGAGGTAGTCACCTCAGCCCATGGGTAGGTAAAGGGTACAGGTTCCTTTTTACTTTCAGTCCTGAGGGGGAGTAGAAGCTTCCTTTGACTCCTCACTTTTCCTGTCAGTGGCAAAAGCCAGTGGAGGCCTCTCCTTTGCCTCCTGTCCAGCAGACTGGGCCCTCTAGCTAGGTCCTGGGCCAGCTGTCTCTCATAACTTGGTTTCTCTTTCTGGGTCCCCTTCCCCACTAGCTGGGACCCCCTTCTGTCCAGCTCCTTTCCCCTTCCTTGGGCTGGTGGCCCCAGGTTGGTCTGTGTTCCCCTCCCTCTGACCCCACCCCCAGCCTCAACTGGGAATGGCCCTGAATCCAGCATTTCCAGCATTTCGAAACCAGGATTGTTTTGAAATCCTGAGTGCTTCTCAGCCTCCCTCTGACTCCCCTCCCCACTAGCCAGGGAACATTGTCCTCTAATCTGATTTCGTGCTGTGCCTTGCTTGAGGTGCTCTGTTTGAGTTTGTATGCTTGCACATGGCCACGTACTACTGTGTGTGCTGTGGCTCTGTGTGTGTCCTGGAGTAAGTGTATCTATGTCAGTAGTTTTGTGTGACTGACTGATGTCTAGCTGTTTCTTGAGCTCTCGGGTTGTCTCTGACTATACCACTCTTACAGAGCTCAAGGAGAGTTTGGGGCTATTTTTAGGAGGTTCCTTGTGAGTGTGTTTTCTTGTCTCTCAATTGTGTGTCTGGGGGTTATTCCTGAGGAGTGTGCTGGAGGTGTGTCTCTAGTGTGTGCTTGTGCACACACTTCTGTGCTTTGCATCTCTTCCTCCTTGCCTCCTCCTCCCTGGGAACATGTCTGGGGTGTATAGTCACAGGTCTCCCTCAGTTCCCTGGGACGTGGAGTCCTCTGCCCTTTGATAGGGAGGTTTCCTGGAGTAAGGCCAAGGCTTCTGGCAGTTCTTAGGTCCTTGGAGAGAGAGTCACGGTGGCTTGGGGAGACATTGGGATAAACTGTCACTGAAGGCTTGTCCCTCTCTTTCTCTGGCCTTCTTGGATACTCTTCTCTGTCCCAAGGAGGTGGCTGGTAAAGGAGGCCTAGGGTTGTAAAGGAATGGGATACCTCAACCTCTAAGGTCGCTTGCTTTTTTGGGGAACAAACAGTCATAATTTACCTGGGAATTTGGTGGCAAATTTAAGGTTCAGAAAACTTGACTTCTCCACTTAGTGTAGCCTAACAAAACAAGCTCAAAATTTAATCCTGAGCTGAAGGCAGAGGGGCCTGGAATCCAGGCATTTGGGGTGGAGCTAGCTGCTGCTCCTTGAAGCCCTGGTCCAAGGAACTCCTTCTTGATGCTGAGTCTCATTCTCTTAGTGTTCTGCAGAAGGGGAGATTCTGAGTGTTTTGTTTTTTTTTTGGCTAAAGCCTGAATGGTGATAGCAGATTTATGTTGGCATGGGATTAGGACACCAGGAAGCCTTGATGCTTTGCCAGGACTCAGTTTCCCATCTTGGGATCTCAGGCTATAACTGAATGCATTTTCTCTGGAAGTACATGCAGAGGTCAGTGAGGAGGAAGATGGGCAGGGTTGTTTGTAAGTCTAGGGACCATAGAGACAGCAGCAGGAGGTGAGAGCATAGGCTAGCACCCCCCCCCACCCGTCTCCCAATGGCCTCTGGTCCCCTATGCAGTGGGAAGAAGGGAGGGGTAGAGGCATTCCTTGGTATGGTGCTCAGTGACCCAGCAGGGGGAGGGCCTTGGCAAGGAATTTTCAGTTTGTTTCTCAATCTCTGTCTCTGAGACACGCACATGCACGTCACTGCAGACACCTTCAGGAGATGAGTCTGGAAGAGTCATCCAGGTGGTGGTAGGGCAGGATAGTGCCAGATGTGCCTTATTGGAAGCAGCTCAGTTCTGGTGGGTACACTGGGCTCCCTGCCCCCTAGTATTGGAAGCTGAGCACACCCAGAGGTCCTTTCCTTATAACTCCATCTTGAGCCTAGGAGCAACACAGGCTGCAGAGGGTTAAGACTGGTTGGCAGGGATAGCCCCCCCCCCACCAGTGTAGCAAGAGAGAGGGAGGAGGGGTGGTTAGCAGCTTGCTCTAGTTGGCGTCTCTCCCAGAATTCTTCGGAAAAGAACTCCCCTCTGACCCCCAGTACAAACTAAGCCCAGCCACCAGCCTCCCTCCCTCCTGCTGTGGGAGCTTCACCCTGTCCCTGCTACTGAACTGCTAAACCTCTTTCACCCCAGGCCCTCCTACCCTAGGAGGAGAGTCCTAGGTCCTCAGGACTTTGTGTCTTCAGGGGACCAGGGCTGTAGCATAGGTATATAGAAGCCTAAGCCCTTCTTTGCCTTGCCATGCGTTAACCTGGGGGTACTGGGGTGCTGGAAGCTGGGGTCCTTGGGCCTCCTGTCCACTCCTCCCCCAGGTCCTCAGGCCAGGTCCTGGGAGTCCTTCACCTCTCCCTCTCCCTGTGGGGCCAAGCTTTCTGGGAGCTCTGAGATCTTTCAGTGCCTTCTTTCCTGCTTCCAGGACAGGGAGGAGGAGCGGTGTGGTAGGGCAGCTGGGTCAGGCCTGGCTCCTTGCCAGTCCACAGAAGTCCTGGGGTAGGGGGAGTCTGAACAGCTCTGACTTCCTGGAGCTGTAGGCTGTCTGTAAATTGTACATGTTTATTGATGGTGGTATTGTGGAGGTGGGTGAGGGTGCTGGGGTTGGGGTTATGGGGAGGAACAGGGGCACAAATTGCTGGCCAGGGACTTCTAGCTGTGACCCTCTCTCCACAGGGAGCCCCCATCCCAGACCACACCCCTGAGCCTCAGCCAGACACACGTTACTCCGGAGGTGAGCTTGGTCATGCTTGCTGCGTCCCTCTTGGCCTTCCTATCCCTGTCTGCAGTGGCCGTATCATCCTGGCTTAGCCTCCTGCTTGGCTTTTGTGTCTCTCAGCTCCCTCCTCCTGGCTTTCTGCCCCCACTTCTTGCATTCCCTCCCCCCAATGGAAGGAAGCCTCCTCTGTCTCTGGGTGGGTAAATAGCCTTCAACTTAGAACCCTGCAGTTGGTGGGGCAGTGGGGCTGAAAGGCTATGGGTTAAAGCTAGGTGCCTGTGAAAGTTTTAGACCTTTTCTAAGCTTATTTCTCTCATGGGAGGTGGGAGACTCAGAATCCTATGGCCCTACCAGGAGAGCAAGGTAGATTTCCTCATCCCGATTTCTTGCTTCCCCCTCCTTGGTTTTGGCCTCTACTGACTGGTGAGTCAAAGCCAGCATGGCCAGCAGCCACCATAGTGTGGTTTCTACTGCCCTGGCCCCATAGTCGTGTGCACACACACACACACACACACACACACAGGGCCTCCCTCCCTGTCCTCCTTCCTTACTTAGCAACAACTCCCTGAATTCACAACAAACACTCCTGTGGGCTCCTGTCTGACTAGGAAAGCTGGAAGAAGCAGGGACCAGGAGGAGGTGCTTCTTTCTTCTGCACTGTCTGGAGGGAGAACTTTTAGTCCCGTCATCTAATGCCCCTATCTTCCCTGCTGGAGGCCACTGGCCTCTGGGAGGAAGGGATCCTGCTTCCACCTCAGACAGTTGACAAAGTGGGGAACAGTGGGACTGGAGTGGCTAAGAAGGTGGGTGGGGGAAAAGGGCTTGGGCTCCAGACCTCCAGGAAAGCCCCACTTGATCTTTGACCCCCACCTGGGGCTTGAGAGGGAGACAGCTGACTTCTCACTGCCTTGGGCATCTCAGCGGGAGCACTATGTTTTGTGTTCTGCAAAGCTGCCTTGAGACCTTGCTGACTGTTAGGGACCTGGATGGGTGAGGAGGTAACGGATTGTGGGTGGGCGGGGCTGGGGAGGTCCAAGAACTTTGCTCTCTGAAAGCTTAGGCCTGCTGGGGACACCTGTGTAGATGGGGGCAGGGAACGGGGAGCCAGAGCGGCTCTCTTTGATCTCTTCCCTGGCAGGAACTGTGGCCTTGGAACTGTGGCCTTGGAACTGTGGCCTCTAGTATGTACAGAACCTCCTACCCATCAGGTGAAGAGGGAGGGTCCTTGAAGGGCTGATACCTTATAGCATCTGCACAGTGCCAAGGCCAAGAACCTAGTTGCTAGACTGTTGGGCTTCAAATTCTGGTGTTCTAATGGTGGGCTGTAATGTCTCAGACGAGCTACTTAACTTTTCTTACTTGTGAAGTGGGAATAATAAGTCCTTTGTAAGCTGGCCATTGTAATGTCAGCAATTGGGAGGCAGAGGCAGGAGGATCCTGAGCTACAGAGTGAAAGCCAGTGTCTAATAAACCCCAAAGACTTCAATAATATAAAAATAAATAATCCGTAGCTGGGCGTGGTGGCACGCACCTTTAGTCCCAGCACTCAGGGAGGCAGAGGCAGGCGGATTTCTGTGAGTTCAAGGCCAGCCTGGTCTACATAGTGAGTTCAGGTCAGCTGGGACCACAGGGAGACCCTGTCTCAAAAAAAAAAAAAAAAAAAAAAAAAAAAAAAAAAAAAAAAAAAGAAATAATCCAAAGTACTTTCTAGGGCTGGGTGTGGTGTCAGGAACCCATCTGTAGTTCCAACTTCTTGGAGGCTGAGATAGGCTCTCCTAAACTCAGGAGTTCAAGGCCAACTTGGACTAGGGATGTAATTCACTTGGTAGAGTTCTCCTTTAGCTTGCATAAAGCCCTGGGTTCAATCCCCAGCACTGCATAAACTGGGTGGGTTGGTCTATCCCTGTGATCCCAGCACTTTGGAGGTAGAAGCCAGAAGATGAGGGGTTCAAGGCCATCCTTGGCTACATAGTGAGGTGGCTAACCAGGGATATAGGAAATCCTGAATAAAGCAGAGCATGGTTGTATATGATACCAGCACTCTAGAAGCAGAAGCAGGAAGATTGCTGCATGTTTGAGGACAGCCTGATCTTTATAGTGAGAGTCTGTCTCAATACCAACAACAACAACAAAACTTGTTAGCTGGCGATGTAGTTTGCCCAGCATACTCAAGGCCCTGGGTCCCATCTGTAGTATCATCTGTAGTATTGAAAGAATGAAAACAAAACTTTTTATAGAGTTGTTTTGAGGATTAAATTAGATAATGCACATAAAGCTGTGTGGCTGCACCCCTGTAATCTCAGCACTTGGGAGGCAGAAGCTGGCAGATCTCTGTGAGTTTGAGATCACCCTAGTCTACTTAGTGAGTTCCAGACCAACTAGAGCTGGGTGTGGTGGTACACTCCTTTAGTCCCAGCACTTGGAAGGCAGAGGCACGCAGATCTCTGTGAGTTCGAGGCCAGCCTGGTCTACATAGTGAGTTCGAGGCTAGCTGGGACTACAGGGAGACCCTGTCTCAAAAAGACCAAAAAAAAAAGTTTGAGTAAATGTTCAATTAATGTTAGATCCTTGGCTTTGTAATTAAGAGCTCTTTGCCAGGGCTCTTGGCTCTTTCTAGAGCTTTGGTCTGAGGAGGCACTGATAGAGGAGGAGAGAGAGTGGGGGACTTGGGAAAGAAGCAACACATCCAGCACTTCAGACTCCTAGGCTCTAATGCTCTTCCAGACCCATCTTCTTGTCACCTCAGTTTTCCCATTGTTGGTGCTGGCTGATACTGTGATTCCAAGTTTTCCAGATGCCCCTGGGCCCAGAGAAGGACTTGGGTTGCTAAGGACCTACCCAACTCCTTGCACTTGGACTTCTGGATCTAGTCCTTCCTCCCCTAGTCTGTTTTACTTGATTCCATTTTGGAGCCCCTCCCACCATCCATCCCCTGCTGCTCTGTTCTTTCACCAAACTGAACAAGACATTCTGTCCTTAAATAGTTTCAGTGGCTACCTCCTCTTCTTCTTGGCTTAGGGGTCAGGAACCTTTCAGTGTGGAGCTGTGAGGTGGGTGGCAGTTGATAGGCTTGTCTCAGGTCCTAACAACTGGGCATTTTCTGAGTATTGAGAGACAGTGCCTGGGCCTATTCGGCATAGAGAGGCTGAGGTGATTACCTGGCACCTCACAGAGGGACAGGGAAGGATATCTTCAGGCCCAGAAGGAGAGCAGGGACATATCAGCATCCCTGAAATCCTTCCCAGGGCTGGGGGGTGAATCTAGGCAGTACTGGAGAAAGTCCTGCCATAGTCCCTGGGCAGAGGAGAATTAGTGCCACTGGATAAGCAGGACTCTCAGAGACCCTGAGATAGGATTGGAATAGTTAGGGTCTGGAGCTTGTGAACTTCTGGGTGAGAAATTGTAGAATAGGTGGTAGGACTGGGTTGTCCTCAGGAAAAGGGAACTAAATATGCAGACAGGTGATGGGGATCTTCTGAGGATTAAGAAATGGTAAAAGTACTTGTGATAACAGGGCTCCTGGGTCTGAGGCCAGGGCTCAACTGGCAGGTACCCTCTTCAGCCTTGTACTAGGGGGAATGAACCAGAGAGAGCGCCTTGCTATGCTGCCCACCCCCTTCTGGAGCAAAGGAGACATCCCAATTTCCTTGGGCCTAGGTGGTGAAGGCTTATCTGCCTGGGCCGTCAAGCTTCACTGTTGGGTTGGCCATGCCTCCTGTGCCCAGCCTCTGGGCCTGTCTGTTCCTTGGGCAGGCTGGGGCTATTTTTGGGATCGGGCTGGAGCTCTGGGGCTGGTTTCAGATGTTCCAATGTGAACAGGAGAAAATGGGAACAGATGGCTGGAGGGTCTGATCAGCGGGTCCTGCTGAGAACAGGATTATTTTTAGGACCTTGTTAACCCTTCAGGGGCTTGTGGGCCACCCTGAGAGGTGCAGCCCTTTCTGACTAAGAAGAGAACAGATCTTCTCCCTGGGCCTCCTGCCCTTTAGAACTGCATATCAACTGCCCTTTCTCTCTAGGACTATTCTTTAAAGAGGTCCATAGCAAGAGAGTAAACTCCAACTTCCTCCTAACCTAGCACTGCCTGTACTGCCAAAGTGGTCAGGTTGGAAGTGATGCAGGACACTGTAGAAGGGAAGTTCCCCATCACTTACCTCCTGGGCCTTTAAAACAGACCTGAGGCTAAGAGGGCAGGTAGGTGCTCTCTGGGTTCTGGGTGTGGACTGGATAATGTCAGGGAATTCAGAGATTCCCAGGGGCATGTGAACAGAGAGTTCAGGCTTCTTCAAAGAGGGCAGATAGAAAGCCATGACTTGGTAACACTAAAATGATGCCCATGGGACCTGCTTACCTGAATAGTCAAAGGGTAAATATGTGGATGATGCCTGCTGTCACCAAATATATGTTCATGACATGCCCACATCCTTGGGTGCCATGGCACAAGAGAAAGAACGGGCCACCAAGTACTGAGGGAGTTTGCTGAGGACTAACGTGTCTTGGGCATTCTGTTAGGTAGTTTCTACTATCTCATTTGTAAAATTATCCTCATTTTGCCTGTGAGGGACCCATAGGGATGAAGTGATGGACAAGGTCCCGCAGTTCAGAAGGGCCAGGATGTGACTGATGCCATCCCCTGACTAAAGAGCTGAGTCTTACTCTATTGCACCCCCATGCCTGCCAGGGTCCTAACCTGCGTCTCAAGGCCCAGGTGGTCATCAGAACTCCTCAAATAAAGGTTTATGGAGTAGGTGTGAGAAAGGAGGCCTGGGGCAGGGGATCCTGCCTGTCACTGCTCTCACAATCCCCTAAGCCCTTCTTGCCTGAGGGTGCCAGGACTGACACTAGAAACCCCTTTTGGCCTTCCTGTCTGCCCCGCAGGAGGATCACAGGCATACATCCTGTCTCATCACCCCCACCCCCACCCTGCCCTGGCCCACATGCCCCTGCTTCCTGGAGGGTCATGGCTATGGCTGTCTGGATGTCAATGTAGTCAGAGCTCAGTGGCTGTCCAGGCA